GTCGTCGTATGTGCATCGAACAGCTCCCGTGGGTTGTGTGTGTGTAGATGTGTCGAGGGCGACACTCCGATCTTGGTATGGGAGACATTTGGCGCGAGGTTAACAACGGCGAGTGAGACGAGGGCGCCACGATGCGGCTGATGGGGGGGAGGGGTTAGTCGTGGGAGAGAGGGGGGGGCTCCCGACGCCTCCCCGCTCCACCATGCCCAGACTCACGAGCGGAGACATCTGGCCGTGGGGAGACAGCTGGGAGTACGGAGGCAACTGAGTGTGGGGAGACAGCTGGTTATTAGGGGAGAGCTGGTTGTGGGGCGATAACTGATTATTCGGGAGAGTTGGTTGTGAGGCGAGAGCTGGTTGTGAGGAGATAACTGATTGTGAGGAGACAGCTGTGAGGGCGATGAAATGGTCCTGGTCAGGGGGGGGCCGTGGAGGGGGAGTTCGCTCTGTGCAACTCAGGGTCGTGTCTGGGTAGCGTGAGGTCGAGGGAATGGCGGTCGTCGTGGTGGGAGTCGGCCACGTACACCGTGGTGCACACCGTGCCTGGTCTCAGGGCGTCGCTCGTGTACGTCAGGGTGCGGCCCGTCATGCTGAGGTCCATGGTGTGCGAGGGGACGCGCTCGAGCTCGTACAGCTGCGTCCTCCCGGACTGGTGGCTGACCTCGCCGTGGTACCTCTGCTGCAGGCTGGCCAGGTCGGCGGGCCGGATGAACAGGTTCCCGCGCGACATGTCCACGCACTGGTCCACCGGCAGCGGCGAGCGCATCCCGTCCGAGTTCGCGGGGTAGGAGCGCAGCGCGTCGGGAGGGGGCTCGGGGACAGGTACGGCGACCTCGGGGGCTCCGGCGAGCGCAGGGCGGCCAGCCCCCGGAAGTCGTGGGGCTGGAGCTCGGGCAGCGGCAGCTGGTCCGCCAGATGGTCGTTCCGAGGAGACAGCTGCCCGCTCTCGCCCATGGGGTCCAGCCCCATAGAGGCCTCGGAGTCGTCGAGCTGGCCGGCCAGGCAGTGCTCCTGGCTCACGGGGGTCAGCTCGGCGTGGCGGTAGTGCTTGTAGCTCATGTCGAGGCCCACCGACAGGGAGGACAGCGACACCGGGAGGCCCTGCGTGACGGGCAGCTGGTCCAGCACGTGCAGCGTCGGCTCCAGGCCCCCGCTTGAACTCAGGGGCGTGGGCGGGGCCATGGGCGTGCCTGGGTCCACGGGCGTTGCGGGCGTGGGTGGCGGCAGCTCGTCGGATTTGACCAGGGCGAGATTGTGGGCGTGGTCCGAGTGTTGTACGTGGTGGTGGGAGTGGTGCAGGTCGTCGTTGACGGAGGTGGGCGGGAGATGGTCCAGCGCGGCGTGCAGATTGTCTTGCAGGTCGTGGCTGAGCTGGTCGTGCAGGTCTCGGGAGCCTATCGTCTCGTGCACGACCATCACTTCAGGGAGGTCTCGCGGGTCGTACTCGCGCTCCAACGTGTACTCGAGGTGCGCGCGCTCGTCGTCGGCGGCGCTGGTCGTGTACTTGATGTGCGTGGCGAGGGCGGCGTCGTGCGGCAGAATCTGCTCGATGGACGTGACGACCGTCGCGGGCGGCAGCGGCGAGTAGCGGCCGCTGTAGCCCAGCAGGCGGTCGTGGCTGCCGATGTTGCGGCTGTCCATCTTCATGTTCTGCTCCGCCACGTTGAGCGCCGCCTCCACCAGCAGGGAGGCGGTCGACTCGCGCCGGTACAGCTTGTCCTCGCCGCCGCACTCCTCGTCCTTCTTCCTCTTCTGCAGCAGGTCCTCGTCCAGCTTGTCGTCGAAGTCGTACACGTCCCTCTCGTTGTAGTCGCGGTCGGGCATGTCCATGGGGTCGCCCAGCCACTTGCGGGAGCCCTTGCTCACCAGGCGCGTGGCGGCGGCGTACTTGGTCACGTAGCCGTGCAGCGTCGCGGCGGGAGGAAGCTTGGCGGCCGCGGCGAGGAGGAGGTCGGCGCGCGATGTGGGCGGCCCCTCCGTGGGCGTGAGCGGCGCGAGGGGCGGGTCGGAGCTCTGGGACGAGTCCTCGGGAGCTGGCGGTTCGGTGGGCGTGGGCGTGCTGGGCTCGGGCTGCTCGGGCTCGGAGCGGGGCTCGGGCGGGGCCTTCCTCGCCGGGTCGTTGACGAGGCCGCCCGAGTACGAGTCGAAGGTGTAGGGGATGCACCGCTCGATCTTGGGCATGTTGTCGCCCGAGTAGCCGTGCACCTTCTTGTAGTGGAACTGCAGGCATTGCTTGGTGGTGAAGGCCGCATTGCAGCTGGCCTCGATGCACCTGCAACAGGGCGGAGGTCTTAGGCAAGAGGGAGAGTGCTGCAGGGAGGGCGAGAGAGCGCGAGGGAGCAAACTGTGAAGGCATAACTGGCCATATTATTCATGGAAGGGAAATGCTCGCAAGAAAAAGAGAAAAGAGGGACAAGGGGAATGCTGGAAGAGAGAGAATGTTTTACGATGTTTATCAAACGGTTCTGCCAACACACGAATCAGAAAAAAAAACATCAAAAAGGAATAATGCTCTTTTGTTAAACACGAATAATGTTATTTTATCACGTTCACTCTTCCCTGAAATTCCACACATTAATAAATACACACGCATGCAACCATATATCCACAAATACACACAGAGGTAAGCATTAACACACGCACATACACACAATCGTCCTCTCAGTCTCACTTCTAATCACAACACATTCATTTTTTACTCATACATTAATCCATACATCCACATCCACATACGCTTATTCCACGTCATCCACACATCCACGCAACCAACCCGCATCCACTCACCCATTTATCCACATTCACAAAACTAGCCTCCTACTGACTCCATAACTCCATATCCGTAAACTCCTTAAACTCTCCACACCCCGTCCAAATCCATATCCACAAAAAAAAACTCTACTCGCCCACGTATCCAATTCCACATCCACGAGCCTCGTCATTCTCCTATTCCACTTCCACATATCATCCACTCACATCCACATTCACATCCATACACATCCACATCCACACCCGCAAACAAACAGTCACACGAAGCCCACATCCATTTCATTCAACCACAAGGTCACATCCACATTCACCCACATCCACATCCACAACAAGTCCACATACATCCACACCCGCAAACAAGCCACACACCCACACCCACACACAACATTCACGAACAAGCCACACACATCACAAACAAGCCACATCCACATCACACCCCAAACAAGCCACACACCACACACAACACGCACAAGCCACACACACAACACACATCCACATTCACGAACAAGCCACACATCCACATCCACAAACAAGCCACACATCCACGAACAAGCCACACATCCACATCCACATCCACGACAAGCCACACATCCACACAACACCCACGAACAAGCCACACATCCACATCCACATCCACGTACAAGCCACACATCCACATGACACCCACGAACAAGCTACACATCCACATCCACAAACAAGCCACACATCCACATCCACATCCAGAACAAGCACACATCCCACACCACGTACAAGCCACACATCCACACAACACCCACGAACAAGCCACTTACTTGAACGGTTTGACTCCCGAGTGCGTCAACATGTGGATCTTGAGATTGCTTTTGTTCTGGAACATTTTGCCGCATCGGTCACAGGTCGCACCCGTGCTCAAGTCCTGTGACAGTGGGTTGGAAACAAATAAAAAAGATTAAATTCAAAACCCACTGAGAGGCGAGTGTAGTGATAGAGGAGAAAACGGGGAGACTATTGGAAACAGAAAACGGGATATGAGTTATAGAGGAGAAAATGGGAGACAAAACGGAGAGAATGGTAATAGAAAACGGAGACTATGAGTTATAGAAGAGAAAACGGGAGACTATGAGTTGATTATGAATGGTAATAGAAAAAGATGAGAGAAGAGAAACGGGAGATTATGATGGTAATAGAAAACGGGAGCAGAAAACGGGAGAATGGTAATAGAAAAACGGGAGACTATGAGTTATAGAAGAGAAAACGGGAGATTATGAATGGTAACAGAAAACGGGAGATTATGAATGGCAATAGAAAACGAGAGATTATGAATGGCATTAGAAAACGGGAGACTATGAGTTATAGATAAAACGGGAAATTATGAATGACAATAGAAAACGGGAGATTATGAAAGGTAATAGAAAACGGGAAATTATGAATGATAACAGAAAACGGGAGAGTATGAGTTATGGAGGAGAAAACGGGAGATTATGAATAGTAATGATAAAGTAGAAAACGGGAGAAAACCATGAGTGATAATGATAGCGAAGAAAACGTGAGAAAACGGGAGATTATGAGTGATAAGAGAGAGAGAGAGAGAGAGAGAGAGAGAGAGAGAGAGAGAGAGAGAGAGAGAGAGGAGAGAGAGAGAGAGAGAGAGAGAGAGAGAGAGAGAGAGAGAGAGAAGACCCGAGAACTCTTCAGCAACACAACAACCAA